CAGAGGTTTTTTTTTTTTGCTTGACTTTCTTAAAGGGGAAGGGTTGTTTTAAGCTTTTTACACCGCTGTTAGGAGGAAATACTCCCCTGTTGGAGTTCTTCCAGCCAAGGTGCAATGATCAGCACTTTGAAGAAATAATTGAATAATGAAGCAGAAGCTTTTAATGACAAGGAACCAAGATGAGTGACATTCAGCAAGGCTTCTTGGCTAGCTAGAAAGATTGACATTCAAACGTGAGTTTACATACTCTTTCTGACTTTTGGTCTAAAACTGTTTTTTGGTGAAGTTTAATTCTGTGCTTGGTGAAATTTAATCCTGTGTTTAGTGATGAGATAATTTTCCCTATTCAGCTTTGTTTGGAAGGAAAAATGTTAATCTCTGTTCCTGAAAAGAAGCAGCTTCAGAAATCTGACTAGTTCTGTGCCTATTTGTTCTGGTAATTGGTTTAACAAGCAACAGATATTCTGTTTGCTCCTTTGCTTCATTCTGGAGAGCTTAAATGACCTCTCTGCTAAAGCGTTTCACTTGGCTGTTGATAGTTATCATTGCATTTTAACTATTTTAATTCCTCAAGGTACTCTGGCACCCTCCCTGATTTGTAACTTCAGTTTGCAGGAATTTCTAATGTAATAATTGGTATTTAGGGCAGCTTTTTGCAAGCAAAGAAGCTTTTTGTATTTTTAGAGAGGTAATCCTTGATTTACAACAGTTACAATGGCACTGGGAAAAGTAACTTATGACTGTTTTTCACACTTATGACCATTGCAGCAAACTGTCATTAGGGCAAAGAAGCGATGCCACATGACCACCTGGCCACAGCCACCCGGTCACATGAAGCACCGCAGTTGTGAAATGAGTGACACGGTTGTTAAGAATGCTGCAATGGGCATAAATGATGACTGGTCATAAGTGCGAGGACCGGTCAAAAGTGCAAGGAACTGTCAGAAATCACTTTTTTCAGCCCTCTGGATATGGACTACTCAGAGGGCTGAAAAAATTATTTTTGACCAGTCCTCGCACTTTTGACCAGTCCTCACACTTACGACTATCCTCACATTTTACGTTTTTCACCCTATCTTGTCACCATGGTGAAGAGAAGCAGTTGTGAAATGAGTGACATGGTTGTTAAAGAATACTGCAACGGGCATAAATGTGAGGATGGTCATAAGTGTGAGGACCGGTCAGAAATGACTTTTTTCAGCCCTCTGAGTAGTCCCTATACACATAGCCACAGCCACCTGGTCACATGATCAGCTAGCCACGGCCATCGGGTCACATGACCAGCAAGCCACATCCACCCAAATAAGCCACACCCACAGAACCGGTTGTTTAAAAAATTGAATCCCACCACTGTGTAGGGCAGAGTCTCCTGCTTGGGTTGGACTAGATCAGGGGTCTCCAACCTTGGCAACTTTAAGACTTGTGGACTTCAACTCCCAGAGTTCTTCAGCCAGCAAAGCTGGGTGGGAGTTGAAGTCCACAAGTCTTAAAGTTGCCAAGGTTGGAGACCCCTGGACTAGATGGGTCTATAAGATCCCTTCCAACTCTGTTAATCTAATTTGGAGTTCACCATGATTGACTCTTGATGTTCTGCGGGACTTTATTCTTGGAGGTTGTTTCCCTCCCCCGCATTGGCTTGTGTCTACATTGGCCAGTTGAGAATAAGGGGAAGGGGCTCTCCGTCTGCTTTATTTGTTGAGGGGAAGGTGGGGAGAGACAAAGGACTGCAGCTTCCACTGAAGGTAAAGAGAATGTTCTGTGGAAAGTTGCGGCATTTTAAGGACATTAGGAAGTTGCCTTGGAGAAAGTGTTCCCAACTCAGTGATGTCTGCTCTGCCAGAAGCTTCCTGGGAGACTTCTATATAGACTCTTTCCAACTTTCTTCCTATCTGATCTCTTGAACAGGAGGTGCTAGGATAAAGGATGGGAACTTCTGCAGGTAGAACCCAGTTCTGCCCCTAATTGGTGTTAGCATAATGACTGCTTTGAATGTTTCAGTGCTATTTGCTGTCGATCCTCAACGTCTTTTTTCTTGTTAAAGAGAGCTCCACTCCCAACACAAAGAGGTGTGAAGGGTGTCATGTTGACAATTGTTTTCTGTGCAAATTTTTTTAGAAGGCGCTTTCAGCAGGAACATGCCATAGCCATGATTCATTTTCATACACACATTCAAGTCGAAGGACCCTATCACCTGAATCCGAGGCTCACACCTGCCCTGAAGACTCTCTGTGTTAATTTAACTCAGGGAATCTTCTCGCCATCCATTTCTTCCCCTGCATTTAATTGAATTGGGGAACCTCCACAGGAATTCTGTCAATGCACGACAGAGCAGTCTTAGTCGGGATGAGTCCATTAGCTGCAAAAAACACAATCATTTCATCGTCATCAATGCGATTGGCAATAACGTGCTTGTCTATTTTACAGAGTGCTCTGCGGTGATAGCTCTGCAGCTACGCAAAATTGGGGACAAATGGAATCTCCGACAAAGAATCCTGAATCTGATTTCCAAAATCTTCTGCCCAGGAACTTGAAAGAGTCTTAAAGAAGAAGAGAAAAGGAAATTGAAAAACAACAACAGGAAAGGAAGAAGGAAAAAAAAATGTCTGTGAAGATGCAAACTTTTTCTACTCGGATTTATGAAAGAGAACCATCCTGAGGTGGAAGAGATGAAATGTTTAAAGGGTTTTGTTTGCTTGTTGCTTCCATCAACAACCACAAAAGCTCCTGTGTAATATTCTCAGCTACCATTTCGGGAAGTTTGTGGGTGAGTGCAAATGGAGCTATTGAGAGAGGAGAAAACTGGATGTTACAGTTGACTGACAGGGTGAATTGGTCCTGGAAGATGAAGGAGTCTAAAAGAGCCATCGGAACTGACATCCTATTCAGTGTTGGATATTAAGCAGTTTCATGCATAGGGAAAATGGTTTTTGTGTGTGGCTTCTGATTTTCTTGAAAACTACAAATCAGTTCCTCAGCTCTTCTGTTCTTATTTTGGAGTTTCGAAACCTATCTGGAGAAAACCAGGAGAAGTATGTGTGTTACATATGAATTTGTTTTGTTGAAATGAATGTAATTTGTTAGAGCTTCATTGGTTTTATAATTAATTATATTGCAATGCCCTTAAATTATGAGTGAAGCTGGGTACAGCCAGAATACCAACTTTACAATATATGCCCTATGGGTAAGACGTTTTTGGTATATTTATTTTTGTGCGAACTTGTTTTCAGGTTATTAACCATGACTAAAGATTCAGGATGAATGTTCAAAACATTCTGCGTCAGAGTAGATTTTAACAGGTTGTCAAATGTTCTTCCGTGAAAGTAACAGTATTCTTGGCTTTACAGAATGAACCGGTACATGTTTAATTATGAGTTAAGAAAATAGAGTTCTGTTTATACATTACAGGTGATAGATTCCTAACAGTGTTAGCTTAGAACTATATAAATAATATAAGCTTTAGAAAAGAAAATGCAGATCAAAAGTTACATTAAGATGACAACTTTGGAGATGAAACAATGTGTTGGTTTTTCACTAAGGAAACGAATTATTCAATGTATGTCAGCTGGATGAAAAATGTCAAACACTTTAAAAACATGCAAGAGTTACAGAGTCCTAGTCAGTCTAGAAACTCACATGGATCACATCTTGATATGGATCTGTTTTCATACACTAATTATTGTTTAAGAAGTTGAATTGAACACACACAAAAAAAGAATAACTACAAGGATCAAGTGCTAATTCTGAAATCAACCGCAAAGGTTTTCAGCAGATTTACTAAGTTCCAATCACATGTCCGGAGTTGGGGCTCAACAATTTCAGTATCTATTCTGCAACATTCTTAACATAACCTCTAAATATATTTCAATTGCATTCATAAGTAACTTAGTAGTCTGACCATGGTTACACTAACATATATCAAAATCAGGCTATTTTCCCTAATCATTACCCAATATCGGTTGAATAAAAATGTAAATAACTAGAATTGTTGGATATATCATCTCAAAGTTGGCCTTCCTTTTTTGTAAATCTCTTCGACGGCTCATTTTTTTTAAAAAAAAAACCCACCTGTCGTCTTAGCATTATTTTGATTGCAGGATTGTGAAGTCTCATTTGAAGGCCATGGTTCTTCAATAAACAGGCCTTGTATTTTTTTTTTATTGAGAACACCCAAGGGAAGTCAAAAAAAGTCAAGATGGCGGCTGTCAGAGCTGGGCCAAAGCCATTTGTTCTGACTGAGAGATGGTAACATTTTTTTTCTTTGCATGTTTTTATATGGGAGTATTGCACAATATATTGTTTTGCTAAGCTTGGGTTAGGGTCAGGAGCATAGTTTACAGTAGAAGTCTTCAAACTTGGCAGCTTTAAGACTTGTGGACTTCAACTCCCAGAATTCTCTAGCCAGCCATGCTGGCTGGAGAATTCTGGGAGTTGAAGTCCATAAGTCTTAAAGCTGCCAAGTTTAAAGACCTCTGGTTTACAGCATCCAATCTGTCTCATCAAATACATTGAACTTTAATGCCAGAATTTTGACCGGTGGTCGTGCTACCTGTTAAATCTGGGCTTGGACGTTAATAACTGGAGTTCATCACATTGGTGAAGGTGTGTTTACAGCAACAGAACCCATTTGAAGTATTTAAGGAGCACATCCATAAGGTTACATTTCCATGCCAGCTTTCTTGCGAATGTCATACATAGCTTACCGTAAGAATCATTGTTTTTGTCTATGTCTTAAAAATTATTCCTTCTGTGTGGTGACTGTTAAGCTAATAAACTTGATTTGTTATTCAAAAAAAAAATGCTCCAGAATATAATTTCCATGGAATTTGAACGTGCCTCCTGTCTTTCTGTGATTGCTGATATTATACTCTTATTATATAGTTTTTTTTTTTTTTTAAAGTTCTGCTTGGTAGGACATCTGCAGGGATTGAGTTGTCAAAAAAAGTCAAGGTGGTGGCTTTGTTCACATCCACATGGCTAGCATCTTGCCTGGTTTAAGCCTCCTCTTAAGTAAAAGCCAGCTGCCAGTTTCCCATCGGAAGTGAGGGAGAAGTATTCAATACAAGACAACACCTGATACTTGCTTTTGGGGCAAATCTTCTTCCATTCAGAGCAATCTGGAAATGTTGAGATGCCACTGATGTTCCAGCAGATCTGGAAGGTGTACCCTGTTTCCCTAAAAACAAGACATCCCCTGATAATAATCCCAATCGGGCTTTTGAGTGCATGTGCTAAAATAAGCCTCCCCCTGAAAATAAGCCCTCCCTAAAAATATTTAAACGCAGAGCGGGAAATCAGGTAAGACGGCAAGAGGAACCCCACCTTGTTCCACGTGCCCCAAAATAATAAGACCTCCCTGAAAAGGCCAAGCACTTATTTCTGGGTTCAAAAAAAATATAAGAACAGGGTCTTATTTTCGGGGAAACATGGTAGGTTCAGTTTGGTTCCCAAAGAGCTTAATTGTTCTTCAAACATTACCATAGCAGCTCGAATCACTTATACAAATTGTGGTTTACTTTACCCATCCAGGTAAACATTAATTGAGGCTAGAATCTCACAACCCCCTCCCCAGAACAGAACACTTAAGGAAGGGAGATAACAAACAAGACAAGAACATTTTGCTTGGGTGTTGTTATTGTTTGCAGAAGACAATACACCTCCTTAATTTCCACTAGGCTGCAACGTAATTCCACTTCACAACATAATTCCTAAGAGGCAACAGCATCTGGTTGAGCTTGGTTGAGCTTGGGGGAAAAAAGTAAGCAGGTTTAGACCCGGTTAGTGCTGGGAAACCACTGGGAGATCCAAAGAGATCAGTAAGTAGGGGGAAAAGTTCCTAGTGAAGGCTGTTGCCAACCATTTCAATATTCAACAGTGTGGAAAGCCAGTTTGGTGTAGTGCCATGATGGCGAACCTATGGCACGTGTGTCACAGGTGACATGTGGAGCCATATCTGTGGGCACGCGAGCATTGCCCTAGCTCAGCTCCAGCGTGCATGCGTATGCCAGCCAGTTGATTTTTGGGCCTTTTGGGCCCACCGGAAATTGGGAAATGGGCCATTTCTGGCCTCCAGGGGGTTGGGGAAGGCCTTTTTCACCGTCTCCAGGTTCCTAGAAAGCCTCTGGAACCTGGGGAGGGCAAAAAACAGGCCTACTGGGCCGACCAGGCCAAAAGCAGTGGGAGCGCGGGAGGTTGTGCGTGCATGCATGGACGGAGGGGCACATTGAATTATGGATGTGGGCACGTGCGTGCTCAACCCCCCGCACTCCCCCCTGCTTTTGGCACACGATGGCAAAAAGATTAGCCATCACTGGTGTAGTGGTTAAGGTGGTAGTTTATAAACCAGGAGATCATGAGTTCTAGTTTCACCTCAGTCATGAAAGCAACCATTCACTCTCTTTCTCAGCCTAACCCACCTCACAGGGTTGTTGTTATGAAGAAAATAGGAGGAGAAAGGAATATTAGGTAGGTTAACCACCTTGAGTTATTTATGATGTAATGAAGGTGAGTTAAAGAGGTAGCAAATAAATAAAACTTTTTATTTTTGAGGGAGGATCAAAATCAACAAGATGGCAACCAAGAGCCACGATGCTGTTTTGTGTGCGCACCCGGACATGGTGCATCTCTTCAGAAAGGTTGCATAAAGACTTGGGTCACCATGCTTTGCCAATTGTGAAGACCATTCTCAGGATGGTTGCCAGGAAGACTACATGGCTGTATTCACGTAGTCAACTGAGTTTGAGGGATGACACACAGAGCCTCTGCAGATACAGATAACAGCAGCCCCAGACGGCCAAAGACTGGAGAGGGAAGGGGTGCAAGCGGGGGTAGTATATTACTTTTATCACTCCAGAAACAGCTTTTCCTTGAACCTGAGGGTATGCCACAATAGAATTACTACACTCCCCCCTCCCTAAATGACAATGTTGGAACAAATAGTGGTGAAAGATAGGAGAGGCCTAGATTTGAACTAATCAAAGTTGAATGAACAGGTCAGGCTATCGTGCTTACTTCATCTGGATGCAATCATTTCCCCTACTCCGCCGTGTTAAAAATGTCGATCTGAGGCAACTTTTTGAGAGGGATCTGCCCTCAATTCTTCGGATGTCCTGCTTCACCTGGAGGTGGCAAGAGGAAGAGGAAGGAGCAGGGGAGTCAGGGAGTTCAGCAAAGGGATGGGGAGGTAAGGCAACTTCTGCAAACTTGCTTTGAAGTCGCCATCAGCTACTTTGTGGGCAATAGTCTCCTTTATCCGGCTGGGTGGGTCAAACCACAGCAACCTGACGGACATTGTCTCACTGCTTTGAATCTTCTGGGGGGAACTGAGGAGAAGTCTACGCATCCCTCGGCCCTCCCTTCCCCTGCTGCCCAGCAGAACTTCAGGTAATCCTCGCCTTATAACCACAATTGAGCCCAACATATTTTTGCTAAGTGAAGCCGTCGTTAAGTGAATTTTGCCCCTTCACGACATTTCTTGTCACAGTTGTTAAGTAAATCACTGTG